GGCGTTCCACTTCGTGTCCCGCCTTTGCCTACGTTGGGCGGGTAGCCGCCGGCTGTGTGGCCCGTCGGCAAAGGCGTTCCACTTCGTGTCCCGCCTTTGCCTACGTTGGGCGGGTAGCCGCCGGCTGTGTGGCCCGTCGGCAAAGGCGTTCCACTTCGTGTCCCGCCTTTGCCTACGTTGGGCGGGTAGCCGCCGGCTGTGTGGCCCGTCGGCAAAGGCGTTCCACTTCGTGTCCCGCCTTTGCCTACGTTGGGCGGGTAGCCGCCGGCTGTGTGGCCCGTCGGCAAAGGCGTTCCACTTCGTGTCCCGCCTTTGCCTACGTTGGGCGGGTAGCCGCCGGCTGTGTGGCCCGTCGGCAAAGGCGTTCCACTTCGTGTCCCGCCTTTGCCTACGTTGGGCGGGTAGCCGCCGGCTGTGTGGCCCGTCGGCAAAGGCGTTCCACTTCGTGTCCCGCCTTTGCCTACGTTGGGCGGGTAGCCGCCGGCTGTGTGGCCCGTCGGCAAAGGCGTTCCACTTCGTGTCCCGCCTTTGCCTACGTTGGGCGGGTAGCCGCCGGCTGTGTGGCCCGTCGGCAAAGGCGTTCCACTTCGTGTCCCGCCTTTGCCTACGTTGGGCGGGTAGCCGCCGGCTGTGTGGCCCGTCGGCAAAGGCGTTCCACTTCGTGTCCCGCCTTTGCCTACGTTGGGCGGGTAGCCGCCGGCTGTGTGGCCCGTCGGCAAAGGCGTTCCACTTCGTGTCCCGCCTTTGCCTACGTTGGGCGGGTAGCCGCCGGCTGTGTGGCCCGTCGGCAAAGGCGTTCCACTTCGTGTCCCGCCTTTGCCTACGTTGGGCGGGTAGCCGCCGGCTGTGTGGCCCGTCGGCAAAGGCGTTCCACTTCGTGTCCCGCCTTTGCCTACGTTGGGCGGGTAGCCGCCGGCTGTGTGGCCCGTCGGCAAAGGCGTTCCACTTCGTGTCCCGCCTTTGCCTACGTTGGGCGGGTAGCCGCCGGCTGTGTGGCCCGTCGGCAAAGGCGTTCCACTTCGTGTCCCGCCTTTGCCTACGTTGGGCGGGTAGCCGCCGGCTGTGTGGCCCGTCGGCAAAGGCGTTCCACTTCGTGTCCCGCCTTTGCCTACGTTGGGCGGGTAGCCGCCGGCTGTGTGGCCCGTCGGCAAAGGCGTTCCACTTCGTGTCCCGCCTTTGCCTACGTTGGGCGGGTAGCCGCCGGCTGTGTGGCCCGTCGGCAAAGGCGTTCCACTTCGTGTCCCGCCTTTGCCTACGTTGGGCGGGTAGCCGCCGGCTGTGTGGCCCGTCGGCAAAGGCGTTCCACTTCGTGTCCCGCCTTTGCCTACGTTGGGCGGGTAGCCGCCGGCTGTGTGGCCCGTCGGCAAAGGCGTTCCACTTCGTGTCCCGCCTTTGCCTACGTTGGGCGGGTAGCCGCCGGCTGTGTGGCCCGTCGGCAAAGGCGTTCCACTTCGTGTCCCGCCTTTGCCTACGTTGGGCGGGTAGCCGCCGGCTGTGTGGCCCGTCGGCAAAGGCGTTCCACTTCGTGTCCCGCCTTTGCCTACGTTGGGCGGGTAGCCGCCGGCTGTGTGGCCCGTCGGCAAAGGCGTTCCACTTCGTGTCCCGCCTTTGCCTACGTTGGGCGGGTAGCCGCCGGCTGTGTGGCCCGTCGGCAAAGGCGTTCCACTTCGTGTCCCGCCTTTGCCTACGTTGGGCGGGTAGCCGCCGGCTGTGTGGCCCGTCGGCAAAGGCGTTCCACTTCGTGTCCCGCCTTTGCCTACGTTGGGCGGGTAGCCGCCGGCTGTGTGGCCCGTCGGCAAAGGCGTTCCACTTCGTGTCCCGCCTTTGCCTACGTTGGGCGGGTAGCCGCCGGCTGTGTGGCCCGTCGGCAAAGGCGTTCCACTTCGTGTCCCGCCTTTGCCTACGTTGGGCGGGTAGCCGCCGGCTGTGTGGCCCGTCGGCAAAGGCGTTCCACTTCGTGTCCCGCCTTTGCCTACGTTGGGCGGGTAGCCGCCGGCTGTGTGGCCCGTCGGCAAAGGCGTTCCACTTCGTGTCCCGCCTTTGCCTACGTTGGGCGGGTAGCCGCCGGCTGTGTGGCCCGTCGGCAAAGGCGTTCCACTTCGTGTCCCGCCTTTGCCTACGTTGGGCGGGTAGCCGCCGGCTGTGTGGCCCGTCGGCAAAGGCGTTCCACTTCGTGTCCCGCCTTTGCCTACGTTGGGCGGGTAGCCGCCGGCTGTGTGGCCCGTCGGCAAAGGCGTTCCACTTCGTGTCCCGCCTTTGCCTACGTTGGGCGGGTAGCCGCCGGCTGTGTGGCCCGTCGGCAAAGGCGTTCCACTTCGTGTCCCGCCTTTGCCTACGTTGGGCGGGTAGCCGCCGGCTGTGTGGCCCGTCGGCAAAGGCGTTCCACTTCGTGTCCCGCCTTTGCCTACGTTGGGCGGGTAGCCGCCGGCTGTGTGGCCCGTCGGCAAAGGCGTTCCACTTCGTGTCCCGCCTTTGCCTACGTTGGGCGGGTAGCCGCCGGCTGTGTGGCCCGTCGGCAAAGGCGTTCCACTTCGTGTCCCGCCTTTGCCTACGTTGGGCGGGTAGCCGCCGGCTGTGTGGCCCGTCGGCAAAGGCGTTCCACTTCGTGTCCCGCCTTTGCCTACGTTGGGCGGGTAGCCGCCGGCTGTGTGGCCCGTCGGCAAAGGCGTTCCACTTCGTGTCCCGCCTTTGCCTACGTTGGGCGGGTAGCCGCCGGCTGTGTGGCCCGTCGGCAAAGGCGTTCCACTTCGTGTCCCGCCTTTGCCTACGTTGGGCGGGTAGCCGCCGGCTGTGTGGCCCGTCGGCAAAGGCGTTCCACTTCGTGTCCCGCCTTTGCCTTCGTTGGGCGGGTAGCCGCCGGCTGTGTGGCCCGTAGGCAAGGCGTTCCACTTCGTGTCCCGACTTGCCTACGTTGGGGGCGTAGCCGCCGGCTGGGTGGCCCGTAGGCAAAGGCGTTCCCCTTCGTGTCCCGCCTTTGCCTACGTTGGGCGGGTAGCCGCCGGCTGTGTGGCTGTAGGCAAAGGCGTTCCACTTCGTGTCCCGCCTTTGCCTAAGTTGGGCGGGTAGCCGCCGGCTGTGTGGCCCGTAGGCAAAGGCGTTCCACTTCGTGTCCGCCTTTGCCTACGTTGGGCGGTAGCCGCGCTGTGTGGCCCGCTAGGCAAAGGCGTTCCACTTCGTGTCCCGCCTTTGCCTACGTTGGGCGGGTAGCCGCCGGCTGTGTGGCCCTTAGGGTATGGCGTTCCTGTTCGTGTCCCTCCTTTGCCTACGTTGGGCGGGTAGCCGCCGGCTGTGTGGCCCGTAGGCAAAGGCGTTCCACTTCGTGTCCCGCCTTTGCCTACTTTTGGGCGGGTAGCCGCCGGCAGTGTGGCCCGTAGGCAAAGGCGTTCCACTTCGTGTCCCCGCCTTTGCCTACGTTGCGAGGGGAGCCGCCGTCTGTGTGGCCCGTAGGCAAAGGCGTTCCACTTCGTGTCCCGCCTTTGCCTACGTTGGGCGGGTAGCCGCCGGCTGTGTGGCCCGTAGGCAAAGGCGTTCCACTTCGTGTCCCGCCTTTGCCTACGTTGGGCGGGTAGCCGCCGGCTGTGTGGCCCGTAGGCAAAGGCGTTCCACTTCGTGTCCCGCCTTTGCCTACGTTGGGCGGGTAGCCGCCGGCTGTGTGGCCCGTAGGCAAAGGCGTTCCACTTCGTGTCCCGCCTTTGCCTACGTTGGGCGGGTAGCCGCCGGCTGTGTGGCCCGTAGGCAAAGGCGTTCCACTTCGTGTCCCGCCTTTGCCTACGTTGGGCGGGTAGCCGCCGGCTGTGTGGCCCGTAGGCAAAGGCGTTCCACTTCGTGTCCCGCCTTTGCCTACGTTGGGCGGGTAGCCGCCGGCTGTGTGGCCCGTAGGCAAAGGCGTTCCACTTCGTGTCCCGCCTTTGCCTACGTTGGGCGGGTAGCCGCCGGCTGTGTGGCCCGTCGGCAAAGGCGTTCCACTTCGTGTCCCGCCTTTGCCTACGTTGGGCGGGTAGCCGCCGGCTGTGTGGCCCGTCGGCAAAGGCGTTCCACTTCGTGTCCCGCCTTTGCCTACGTTGGGCGGGTAGCCGCCGGCTGTGTGGCCCGTCGGCAAAGGCGTTCCACTTCGTGTCCCGCCTTTGCCTACGTTGGGCGGGTAGCCGCCGGCTGTGTGGCCCGTCGGCAAAGGCGTTCCACTTCGTGTCCCGCCTTTGCCTACGTTGGGCGGGTAGCCGCCGGCTGTGTGGCCCGTCGGCAAAGGCGTTCCACTTCGTGTCCCGCCTTTGCCTACGTTGGGCGGGTAGCCGCCGGCTGTGTGGCCCGTAGGCAAAGGCGTTCCACTTCGTGTCCCGCCTTTGCCTACGTTGGGCGGGTAGCCGCCGGCTGTGTGGCCCGTCGGCAAAGGCGTTCCACTTCGTGTCCCGCCTTTGCCTACGTTGGGCGGGTAGCCGCCGGCTGTGTGGCCCGTCGGCAAAGGCGTTCCACTTCGTAAGAACAATGGATGAAGTTTCATTCAAACTAACAACTCACAAGATCAGATGTGCCTATGCAGGACAATCTTTGTGGGTCGAACATATTTCGAAAAGAACGCTAAACCGAATTGGAAAAGATAATTGGTGTGTATTTTAAAATCGAACATGATCTGGAAATGAAACGAAGCAGATCTCTTTTTTAAATAAGCATGCATTTATATAGAGACCGTGTGAAACATTCTTGAAGTGCACTAACTTGAAGACGTATTGACTCGCGTTACACACAGTGTGTGTGTGTGTGTGTGTGTGTGTGTGTGTGTGTGATTTACGTTTTTAACGTAATTTTAAAACTAATTTCAGTCATATCGCTTCAATGTCTGCAGTGTGACATTTTGTAGTGATGTCTAGCACTGGTTCATCACGCCGCAGACATGTCCCACTCAGTCACATTATTCTGCCATCAGGCCGACCAGTCCTAACACTAAATTCTTAATGCTGAGCGTCAGGCGATGCAGCTGTTAGTACTATTTTTAAAGTCTTTGTATGACTACGTCGGGTTTCGAACCCACGATCTCCTGTATCCGAGGCGGACGCTCTAACCATTATGCCACCGGAGTCAGTTTTTAACGTAGCTTTAACATTTTTAGTAATATCGCTAAGTTGTCTGATGTGTGACTGTTTTTAGCAATGTCTAGCACGAGGGCATCATGCCGCAGACAAATATCAGCATGTCTCACCCAGTAACGTTATTATGACACCAGGTCGACCATCCTCTTACTGATGAGCACCAAGCGAGACAGCTACTGGTATCATTTTATAAATCTCTGGAATGACTCAGCCGGAGTTCGAACCCTTGACTTCCCGCATCTGAGTTGGAGGTTCTAACCACTTAAGCCCCATGATCTTGGAGCTTTAGTTTCGATCTGACGACCAGATTTCCCAAATGGAAAATATATTCAGCTGCACTACCATCAAGAAAATTTATATGCCTTTACTATTACAGGATTTCTCAAATGCACTTGCTATTGCGAGACCAACGATTTTGCGGTCAGGGCCAATTCATTCCTCGTAGAGAGAGATGCACACTTTTAGCTTGTAAACTATATATTTGTAAATGAAAAAAAAAAACAAGAATTAATTTCTATGCTTGCAGACAAATATTTGTCAATCCGTTTTGTCAGGAGCAACATCGCACAAAACACTTTCAACAGCAAATAATCTTACGAATTAGTTAGATTTTGCTCCAACTGAAAACATCATATTCGAATAAATAACCAAAGCACACGTTTGTCCAGAAAATAAGCTATGTCGTTTTTTGTTTTTTTTAGCAAATAATGGACATTGATCGCCAGTGTTACAATCTTATATGTGACAAGGAACGTATGGAAGATTCAAGGAAGACCAGTGTAATTACAGAAATAAACAAGTGGATTTTGTCTTTTATAGCTTCAAATGTACACATTGAGATTCCAAGTGGACCAGAAGAAATCTTTTGGGTGGGGTGGGGTGGGGTGGGTGGGGTGGGGTAAACTTTTCCGGATTATATATATATTCAATGTACCAATTTATTGAAATTCCAAGTGGACGAGAAGAGATGGGGGGCTAAACTATTTCGGACTATGCCTAATTTAATTTAGCCAAAGGCTATTGTCCACACTGTTTCAATATCAAAGATAATCACGCATTCATATTTGCCGGTCGATCGCCACTACGACTCCGACAGTATGCACACAGCAGCTTGAAGCAATATACGCGTAATACCAAACTTACTCTTCAAACCCATTTGAATTTCAAGAAAATATTGAAATATTGCAGATCTGATGTGGACATTTCAAACCGTAGCTGTGCAGAATTTCGGAAACGATTTTTGGAGGTATTGATCTTTAGAAGGAAGCTTCTTCCATTGACAAGGTGTATGAATTATAGTCTATCGAAAGAAGTTTCTGTTTGAGACTAACTAACCATAACAGTCCATTAAACCCATCTCTCGATCTACCGTCTATATTTCGCCAAAGCTGTGAACCTACATTACTTGTGTGCAGTTGAAGATAAATGGATACAAATTGCTAGAAACAGGGGGGAAAAGAAAAACAAATCTCTTTTGTGGATTCCATAAACTCAAGTGATTTTTTTTCACAAATGACATACATGTTTTCCACAACAAAACCTGAAATGGCCTTTCTCAGAGTTTGCCTTTGAAAACTTATCTAAACATAATGACGTCTGATGTGAGAAAGTCAACTATATAAAGTGTTACGTGTCTAGGAGTGAAGACAACAAACTTTGTAAAGTTTAACAAAATATTTTTCCCTAGGAAAACAAGGCAAAACTGAAAAAAGATCTCACGGTTTTTCGAATCAAATCCAAAATTAATCCAAGATATTAAAATTTCGAAGTCCTATTATTAAATAGTACTTAATAAATCTGAGTGCGAGTACCGATGAAATTCCCAGATGGAAGATGATGACGTATGCAATAGTTAGCATTGTATCGATGTATCAACATTTCCTTTCTTGAATCCAAGAAAATAATATTTCAGTTTGGAATTCCTCATAATTTTAATAAATTTCTTTGACAAAAATTCCGTATGAGCATATCAATTGCCAGGGAAAATAATCACTTTAAATTAAATAAAAATTCAACCCAAACTGTTCGCAAGAATATATCTTTAAGTGTCAAAGACTTAAAGCCCAACTGAACAAATTCTTGTTATGAAAACGATTATGCACTAGAACAAAATAGAAACGTTTAAATGTCTAACATCAAGTATTCAGTATAGCCTTAGCTTAAATCGATAGTTCTTAATCTGGGGACAAAAGTTGTTTACTACAAACTCTTGCTAGTTCTGAATCAAAATCAGCAACTGGATACAATGTTTCTACTACTGTTGGTTTATCAGGTCAAAAACAAAACTGAACTGAATTTCTAAAATATTATCAAATCCAGTAGACAAAGTTATCATTATAATAACATGTAATAGAAAAAAAAAATACCTACTTAAAATTAACAAACAATTAAATTACATATACATAAAACAAGCGATATAAATGAGGCAATATGACATTTCAAAACTCGTCCTAGTTTTAGTCGCATTACAGAAAATGTATTGCGCGTTGGATATCGAACCTTTGAATCCATACGAACCAATGCGACACGTTGCAGTATAACACCGCTAAATCTCAAAGAGATCAATTCAAATACATTGAGGTGTGTTCCTTATATATTTGAATGTGCAAATAGGTGCGAATCCGTACCGGTCAGCCTGTAATTCACGAAACACGTCGTCCTGGAACACGTTCGAAAATACGACAGATTGATTAAATCCAAAGTGTTGCCCAAAACAATCAGTAGGTACGAGCAACGAATACCTTATTTAACTACTAATCCTAATTTTACCCGGATGTCAAAGATACAACATGAACTGGATTGCTTGCAGATCGAACAGATTTGTCACAAACAGACAAATCTCAACAGTATACACAAGTATTGCAATATATTCAACAGTGTAATGTGCTTAGGCTCGTTCAAAGGTAAAAAAAAAGTGAAGTCAACAATTTTTTTAAAAATTTAACAAAATTTATTTCTCTATAAGAAAAGGTAAACATGTGCAAAAGGATTTACAGTTTGTGAATATAATGCAAAAAATAATCCTGTAATCTACAAGTTCTATCACAAGAAAATGTTCTAATTGAATCGAGGTTCGAATCCCGATGAAGTTTCAATATGGAGGACGAAGAATGTATTATTGTACCGATGTGTCAACAGTTACTTGAATTTTATGAATCAAGAAAAATATTCCGGCTTTAGGATTATGAATAATTTCCAGTAAATGTCTTTGTCGAAGAATTTGATGAAGACTACTTATATTTCCAGAAAAAATAAATTATTGTAAATAACAATTTCAACTCAAATGGTCAAAATGCAAAATACCTATGTGCTCTTAAAGGTAGGAAATACGATTGAATTCAACTGCTAAAAGTGTTTGTTTTAAATAGTTTTAGATCACGTGATGGTACACGTGGTCATTTAATTCGAATATCCCTGAAAACCCATAAGACAATTGACACTTATGCCATGTACAAAACTTGGTCATACCAAACGAATTTTATAAAATTCAATAATGATAAAATATAAAAATAGTTGTTTACAACAGAGCTGATGCAAGCCAAGAATGACCATGATTGCGACCAATTATTTTCACTGCATGTTTATGAATTTCTGAACCAAGATAAGGAACTAGTTCAGCCAAATGTACAATGTAGCAACATTTTTGTTTACTAGGACTGAACCGGATTTTCTGAAAAAAAGTCAAATCTAGTAAAAGTTATCATTATAATAGCTTGCAATGAAATAAAAATAAAGATAAATTAAAACTAACACAGAATAAATTACATATACGTAAAACTCTTTCACTCAAGCGCTTTACACAAAGCCTATTCTTAAAGATTTCAAAATTGTCATAAAAAGAGAAGCAAATTTCATAAAGACAGCCACAATGGTGGAAAAAAAGAAGACAAATGAGAAGCATTTAAAACTCCTTTTGCTTAAATACCCAACCTCTTTGTTGACACCGTCCTCTACTACCAGACGAGGATTTGGTGAAATGGAAATTTCGATCAAAACAAATATCATCTCTACACCTTCCTGTACATTAGCCATATCTTGATGTTATCAAAATTAATGTAAATGGATCTCTTGGACAAAATATTTTATTCTAGAAAAGAAAAGTTAAAGATTAAACTACATTTTCAAAAACGAATCTGTATTGAAGTGTAACAGAGGCATCCTATGTATCAAGGTCTTTCTCCAGAATGATGCCATGTTTGCAGATATGTTGAAATAAATTTTTCGCAGGGTAGCATTCATCCTAAAAACGGTGGTGATTTGGGCATTGCAAGCTTTAAACGATCCAAGTATGACACAAACAAAATTTCTTCCAGACGCCCTGATGGTCAAGCAAGTTTAAAAGAAGCCTCCGTGAAAGCAGGCAAAATTGTTTCTTCAAACAGGAAATGACCTTTTTGGGTCGCCCGGATATTTTTATAAATTTGCTTATCACTTCAAGAAATGCAATACAATCTTTATGACAAAACGAGGACCGGGAGGAATGAGACGGCGGAATCTCTTCAGGCTTTACACACACGATTAACAATTATGTAATTATTCAATATTTTTCGAAATGATTTGAACAATGTCCAGCTTTTGCGAGCCTTGGTGTTCATTCTGATAGACGTTGCACTACTCATTTGTTGTGCGTAAAAACGGTATATCATATATAACGAAATTATTTGTTCTTTTTTATATCTAAATATTTTCTACTGAACTGAAATAAAATCTGTGATAATAAAGAATCTCAAATGGGTAATGATTTAATATGAAATTTATGAAACTCACCAAGGCTCGCAAAAGCTGGACATATTCAACTCGTTTGTACTATTTACAGTTTTATGAAACATTCTACCTCGGATTGCATGCTTGTATTAAAATTTTACACCTCAAGGGAGATAAATGTTACCAATGTACGGAGAGGGTAAATAAACACACTATATGTACTGATACATATTATATGAACTGAAAATCAAAACGGCATTTCAAGTTATGTCAATCAACGCTGAACAG